GATATAGCGTCTGGGGTCTTAAAGGCTTGAAGGTAAACAAGTGGCCATCTAGCTCAGAAGCAACAAAGCCCACATGGAAGAAGCACACCAGCCTGTGCAATCATAAGGTGTCAAAGGGATCAGATACCAAGCATCATCAGAACAAAAAATCTTATCATAGTGAATGAGGGGGGAATGCAGAGTGGAGACCCTAAGCCCGTTTGTAGACCACTGGACATCCCCTTACAGAAGGGTCTTGGAGAGGAGACGAGCCAGTCAGGGTGCGATGTAGCAACGATGAAACTTACAACTTTCCTCTAGTTCCTAAATGGTTCCTTCTCCCCCACTATCATGATCCCAATTCTGCCTTACAAATCTGACTAGACCAGAGGATGTACACTGGTACAGATAGGAACTGGAAATGCAGGGAACCCAGGGTAGATGATCCCTTCAGGACCAGTGGTGTGAGTGGCGATACTGGGAGGGTAGGTTGGAAAGGGAGAACTGATTACAAGGATCTACATATAACCTCTTCCCTGGGGGATGTTGGACAGGGCAAGCTATGACAAAATAATAATTTATAAATTATCAAGGGTTCATGAGGAAGAGGGAGCGTAAAAATGAGTAGTAGATGCCAGGGGCTTAGGTGGAGAGCAAATGTTTTGAGAATGATGTATGTATGGATTGTGATAAGAATTGTATGAGCCCCTAATAAAATGATTTTTTTAAAAAGAAGAAAAAAAAGTCTCGAAACCCACAGGGGCAGTTCTAATCTGTTCTTTAGGATCAATGAGTCAGAATCGAATGGATGGCACCAAGTTTGTTTTCTTTTGATCCATTTTTAATGAATACTCAGTTCCACTCATATTTGACTTTCAGGGGTCACAAGGAGGTGACCGTTTTTTAAAAGTCTTTCCTTTCCATTGTAGAAGTATTATTATTTAACTATTAAATTTTCTCAGGTGGAGTAGGGTCTGACCTGTCCTGAGGTGAAAGAGGCGGCCGGCCGCCTGATAGCACATCTTTAAGGGGACACTCATTGTGCCCCAATGGCACCACCCCTCCCCCACCTACTACTCACTGGGTTAGGTCATTTATGGGGCTGGTCTTTCGTAAGACTTGGAGCTAAGGACCTATCTCGAATTTAAACTTCAATTTATATCAAAGAATATTATATTTTTATGGCTGTCCACAGTTTTACCGAGAATCTGTCTCTAACAGATATTTTTCACTGTGAACTATTAATACATTAATCTGATAGGCAATAGTAAAAAAAAGACATTTCCCTTGGCATGAGATTCTGAACGTTTTCACATTTTCTCTTACATTTTAGTTCCCCAAACGTACGTTCACTAAAGTACATAAAAAGGATTAAAGCCAGGTTCTGCAAAACCCTGAAAAGATGCAGTGCGGGGATTCGCGGTGATTCCTGAAAAGCACGGGAGAGTTGAAATCATCGAATCACTTTAAAAATTAGTAATCAGGACCGCACAGATTCGCGCAGGCTGAGTAAACCGCCTGGACGATCGCGGTACAGAGGTGGGTTCGCTGGAGGCTCGCCAAGGCTGCCACTTGGAAAGGCCACGAACCCCGGCACCGAGAGCCTGCGGGGGCCTCCCCTGGCCCCGGGCTGCCACTTGGAAAGGCCACGAA